TAGTGATTTAGTATAATAAAAGCTTTGAAATATGGTTATCAACAATGTGTGGCAATTTGGAAAATTTCTAAAAAATTGTTGAATTTGGTGTGTTGATTTCTTCCAAATTTCTGTTTGTTCGACTATCATTATGACATTATATGAAACCTTGTGAAAATTATAATATTGTGTATTATACTTGAAAATGCATTTATTTCTATGTTTATATTCTTAAAATGTGTGAATTTTATGGAATTCTTAAGACTAGTTGATATTCCAACATATCATCTGTTGGGAGTTATAAGGGCCTAAAATCTCTAAATATTTATGGTGTTCTTGCATTGAGAGTTAAAAGGGCCTATTATCGGATATACTAGCACAGAGAGTTATAATGGTCTGAATTTTGAAATTCTATATGTTATGAGAAATTGAGATGGTGTGGTTACTATTATGCTACTTTACTATTATGTTACTATATTGTTTTATTTTTTATAGGTAATGTGGTAGACTTATTGTTTACTCTGAGTAGTATATTTATACTTATGCATGGATAAATGCACTTTACTATTTCTACCTCATTATTGATATTTATTATTATTAAACATATGGGTTGGGTGAATGTGGGGTGCTTAGTTAACTTGTGGTTGTTCATGTATTATTTCTACATTTGTCTCTAGTCAGGATTAGGGAAATTAGCATGTTGAGCAGAGGAAATGTTGCAAGATCTAAGATTAAAATCTATGTAGGTATTTTTTATAGAGTTTTTGACAGTCATGGCTTTTCTTTTTTATTTCTATTCTACCATGATCTGACACGATATGGCTCATTCCATATCTTGATTATATCCAGTCAAGTTGTGACAGGTGGCTACTTGTCACATTGTTAGGACAAGTCATAATATTACAGTGGGATGATTCCTCCCATGATAGTGGTATTTATTGCATGTAAGATTTTTACTAAGGACAAGTACATTCATTCCTTCTTTTCTTTTTAATGTATATGGACAGATAAATGTAAAAATGTTCAATAAAATAAAATTTAATTTCTTCAAATACCATTACAGTGAACTAGTATTATTTATTTATTTTATTTTATGTTGATATGCCATTGTGGTGACTACCTTGTTACACATGTATTGGAGTCTTTCTCATTTATGATAGGGATGATAGATAGTGCCGAGATTTTATATTGGTGAAGGGGATGAGGATAACTAAGTTGTAAAAAATTATCCATCAACTAAGTCTACTACGTGATATATTATTATATGACACCTTCAAATATAGTGTTAAGTTCTACCAATTATGACCCGAATTAAACAACAACAACAACATCATCATCATCAAACCTTTGTCCCACTACGTGGGGTCGGCTATATGTATCCTTTTTTGCCATTGTGTAATGTTAAAAGTCAAATTCTCACTTAAATCTAATAAAGAAATATCATTTCTAATATTTTCTAGCCAAGTTTGTTTAGGACTATCTCTACATTTCTTAACATAAGTCAAATCTAATACCTCAACTTTCCTAACAGGGTCATTGGAAGGCCTCCGTTTAATGTGGCCAAACCATCTAAGGCGACTCTCTCTAATCTTATCTTCTAGTGGAGCTACTCCAACCTTTCACGTATATGCTCATTTCGTATCCTATCTCTAAGGGTAAATCCACTCATCCACATAAGCATCCTCATCTCTGCAACACTTAACTCAGTATTATGCTTCTCTTTTAAGGGCCAACATTCGTCACCATAAAGCATTGCAGGTCTCACCACCATCTTATAGAATTTTTCTCTTAAGCTTGAGGGGGACTTTTCTATCGCACAATAAGCCCGAAGCATTCATCCACTTCAACCATCCAACTTGAATTTTGCTGATAATATCCCCATCTATTTCACCTTCACTCTAAATAATAGATCTAAGATATTTAAAATGTGTACTTTTTTTTTCTTATCTCTTTTTTTATGACCCGAATTAAAAAAGATAAATATTTCAAGTTTTATATTTTGAACCCATTTGTATGTGTTTGGAAGTATTTTAGTATATAAAAAATGTCTACATATATTCTGAAAGAGTTCTAGGGGTTTGGAATGCATATTGACGAATTCTGAAATTTTCCCCTGGAGCGCCACAATGTTGGTGTTCGAGCGCAACAATACTGCAGTGGCACCTAGGGTGTTGAATAGTGATATTGTAGCGCTATAATCTCTATAATTTGTAATTTGAACTAGTGTTGTAGCATTAGATGGTGACGCCACAATATTAGGCCACTTTGTGTACCTAAATATAATATTAAATATACTTTTCCATATAGTCGAACTGAAAGGCAACCGGTGTTGGAGAGAGGAGATGAATTTTGAGAGAAAAAAAAAAAGGATTTTTGGGCTGCTTTGAATCATTTTTAGTCATCATCCAAGTTCAGAAAGTTATATAAATCGAGTGAATCACACCATGTCTATCTCAATTTTAAAAAATATGAAGTTTTTTAGATTTTCTAATTAAAATTATTTTCTCGTTATTAAAAAATGAGGATAAATTTGTACTGAAAAACTTTCACTGCATAACTTTTTTATATGTTATAAAGATTGAGATTTTGAACATTTTAAATATTTTTTATAATTTTTACACTAGTGGTTTTAGAAATTAGGCTATTTTAATTTTAAAAAAAATATTTCAAACTTAAAAAAATATTGTAGTATGATTAAAGTATTAAAATGATATTTTACATAGTCTATGATAATTTAGTTATATTTTTAAACTGTACATGTTTACTCAGTAAATTTTCTACTGCCTATCGATATAAAAAATAATGTGATTATAAAATGTCTCTAATTATGCTTAAATTTCTACAATATGATGAAATATATGTTTATGTGGTTGAATTATGTGGTATTGAATATTTTGATATGGAAAAAAATGTTTGCTAGGAGATATAAGAGGTCATAATTCTTTGAGATTATACCTATTATCGAGAATCCGAATCTAAAAATCTATTTGTTGGGAGAAATAAGAGGTCATAATCCTTTGAAATTCTATTTGAAAAAAGGGTGAAATTCTATTGGGAGTCATAAGAGATCAGAATCTTCTGTCTGGGACCGGAGAAATCTTTTATATGAACTATTTTGTAATATGAATTTCAGTTTAATTAACTGCTTAGTATTATTGTTTGAAATATTTAAGTAACTGTTATGCTCTTATTAGTTATTACTTTGTTGAGCATGATGATTTGTTATACCGCATTTAAATATTCTAAAAATATTTAATAAAAGAAATAATTTAGAAAATTTGATCATTGTTTGGGGTCTGCCGAGTTGTTGTAGTTCACTATGATTTTATATTTTATTTTAAGGATCTAAGAAAGAGAATGAGCATGTTGATTAGTAATTCAATATCTGATATGAGTCTATGCAAGAATTCTCTGTTTTGATTTTTGTACAGTCTTGAATAGCTTAGGTTAGATTTTTCTCTGCTCTCTGTCTGTAGCCATGCACTCTATTGTTTGTTTAAAATGTATAATAGAAGAGAATTTGAAATATTTCTAAAATTAGATCATATGATTTGTCTGTCACAGCTTAATACGATATGACCTGTCATATTTGGCTGGGTTGTGATAGCCTATGCTTAAGATTGAGCTTGACAAATAAGGCATTAAATTGATTGATTTAAAGTGCATACATACAATTATAGTACATGCATATATTACAAGAATATTTAAATGATATGCTCATTAATCAATTTTATCTTAAGATGATGCAATACATTTCTCCCAATTTCATGTAGGGGTGTTAATTCGGGTCAACGGGTCGGTTTGGGTTGAATCCGAGTTGACCCATGCATATACGGGTTGACCCGAACCCGACTTATTTAGCTAAACAGGTCAAGATTTCTAACCCACACCAACCCGCACAGATTGTTGAGTTGACTCGACCCGACCAGCAAACTCGTGGGCGCAGTTGTAGAGTCACGTCATTTAGGGCTTGGGCGTCGATGTGTCATGGACGAATGTTGACCTGGCAAAGGCTGAGGGCTTAGGGCTTGTCGGCCTGGGCGAGGCAATGTCGAGTCATCACTCATCAGGGATTCACGCGGAGTCGCGGATGGATGCGCGGAGGAGTGAGGACTCGGAGTGACCGAGTGAGGCGGCCTGGCGCCTGGCGAAGGCGGGTCTTAAGTCTTGACTAGTTGAGCTAGCAGCAAGCAGCATGTGCAAGCAGCAAGGGTCAACCCAAGTGGCCGAGCGCGGCTAGGCAGGAGTTCGCTGAACCAGGTTAGGTCGCGCGGGATCCGGGTTAGCCGGGTCAGCTTAAGGTTTTCGGGTCAACTTGAACCCAACCCGTTTTTCAGACGGGTCAGAAATTCGATTCCAGACCCGACCTATTTCACAAATGGGTTGACAGGAACCTAAATTTTTCCGGGTCGGGTTTCGTGTCGTGTCAATTTTTGACACCTGTAATTTCACATGAAGAAGTGTATTTTATTTCGGATAAATTAATATTAGTTATATTTTTATATCAAAAATATTTAAATATTGCATATTATATAAATAAAATATAAGAAGTTATGTATAATCTTTTATACCTAATAAACTAAACTAGTCATAGCTCGAAAAGACGACTGATGTGTCCAAATGCAGAATTATGAAAATATTTATGAAATTACTAAGCTTGATCCAAATATTTGATATTAAAATATAATTAAGTCCTCGTTTCATCATCAGTAATATAAATTAATATTTTCTTAGAATTTCCAGAGATTTTTGCCAACTCTGCCTTCCTATTTTGTCACCTTCTAATTTTGAACTGTATCTTTTACTGAATCTGCAGCAGATATGAGAAGAAACATAAAGCGTCAGTTACAATTAGAGCCGCCAATAAACGTAGAGAACTAAGCAGAGTAGTTTGACACAGAAACATGAAGCACATGTTGACAAGAGATTACATATACTCTTGAAAAATTGCAGGAGAATTAAGCTACAGGCATTCTGAAATAAGAATAAAGATGATCCTTCCACTGCTGGTTTTCATGTTAATGGCTAATTCGATCGCCTCTTCTCCTCAGCTTCCAGCTATGTTTGTGTTTGGAGACTCATTAGTTGATAGTGGGAACAATAACTACTTGACTTCTATTGCGAAGGCAAACTATTACCCCTATGGTATTGATTTCTCGCAAGGGATAACTGGGAGATTCACTAATGGAAAAACAACAGTAGATGCACTATGTGAGCTCTTGCTTTCATACGCTTTAAAGCCTCTTTCTCTGTTTCATTCTCTCGTCTCATCTCATTTTTAAGAGTAAATCTTATTGTGTTTCTATAGACATAACGATTCATTTCTTAGAAGACGAATTTGTCAACATACAGGAAGCTGGAATATAATTATAGAACTATTTAAAAGCATTTATAAGATTTCCATGTTACACAAAATTGTCCAGCTATTAATAATTAGTTATACATAATATGCTCCATACATGCTTTGAAATAAAAAAATTAGCTCATTTTCTTCTACAGGTGATCGCTTGGGCCTTTCATATCTTCCCCCATACACTATGCCTGGACTAAATGGAACACAAATACTTGGAGGAGTAAACTATGCATCTGCAGCTGCTGGCATCCTGGATGAGTCTGGCCAGTACCTTGTATATATTCCTTCTTTAATAAAAAATTATATATCAATAAGTAGTTAATAGAATTCAAAAACCCACTCAATGTGCTGATTTCTGTTGTTCACCATAAAGGGGGAGAGATTTCCCCTATCCCAGCAGGTAATAAACTTTGAAAACAACTTATATGAGCTAAGAGCAATGCTTGGAGAGAAGATGAGCGACTACTTAGCCAAATCCATTGTAGTGATGGTCTTCGGCAGCAATGACTACATCAACAATTATCTTTTACCTTCTCTTTACACAACCAGTTACAACAACTACACAGCCGAGCAGTTCGCCAGTCTCCTCATCAATAGTTACACAAGACAGATTCTGGTAAATTTTTTGTTATACCACTTCATATAAGTTTATATTTTCCAACTAAACAGGGAGACTTAATTCAACTTTGCCATAGGCGCTTCATAGTTTAGGCCTGAGGAAATTCTTGTTAGCAGCAGTTGGTCCTATTGGCTGCACACCAAACCAACGATCTTTTTGGAACGGTCCGCCTGACCGATGCAACGATCAGGTAAATGAAATAGTAGACTTCTTCAACAGAGGGTTGAGATCAGAAGTGGATCAACTAAACAATAACCATCCTGGAGCAATATTTGTTTATGGAAATACATATGGAGCCATTGGTGATGTACTCAACAATCCTGCAAACTACGGTATGCTAATATCCCAGATATATAAATATAATTAGAATCACGATAACATATATTGTTGATACAACAACAATAACAATAACAACATCAAGCCTTTGTCCCACTATGTGGGGTCGGCTATATGAATCCTTCTTCGCCATTGTATCTGGTTAAAAGTCAAATTCTCATTTAAATATAATAAAGAAAAATCATTTCTAATATTTTATAACCAAGTCTTTTAGGTCTACCTCTACCTTTTTAACATAAGTCAAATCTAATACATCAACTTTCCTAATTGGTTCATCGGAAGGCATCCGTTTAATGTGACCAAACCATCTAAGGCGACTGTCTCTAATCTTATCTTCAACTGGAGCTACTCTAACATTTTCACGTATATGCTCATTTCGTATCCTATCTCTAAGGGTCAAGCCACTCATCCACCTAAGCATCCTCATCTCTGCAACACTTAACTTAGTATTATGCTTCTCTTTTAATGAAATGATTGTCTGAAATTTGTGAGCAGGAATGAGAATTGTGGATAGAGGATGCTGTGGGATTGATATGGGAAGAGGAGTAGAAATAACATGCCTTCCTTATCTCACTCCTTGTGGAAATAGGAATGAGTATGTCTTCTGGGATGCATACCACCCAACAACAGCCGTGAATTTAATACTTGCACAGAAGGCATACGCTGGCCCCCCTACAGATTGCTATCCCATCAACGTGCAGCAGATGGTTCAAATATAACAGCATTTTATATACATTCTATAATATGTTGATCTGCTATGACTGTGAAACTGTTTGATATATCATACTTTTTGTGCTTCTAGATTTTACATATGCACTATAATAAATGTATTACATACATCAAGCAGTGGCTAAAAAGCATGACCAAATGAAAACTCAAATTTTGAATGATGGAATTAAATACTAATCCATGGGTAGATGAGGTTAATTGCATGGTGCCATTAACCACTAATCACTATCAGCATCATTACTGTAAAAAGCTCAATGTAATCAATGAAAGTGCGCATCAAAAGATCATTCATCCATTTAACCTAAAATCTCCCTCCAGCCAATCTTCTTCTTGTCCCTCACAATACTAGATAACAAAATAGATCGAAGTTGTTAATCAGAGCCGGAGTTATTAAAAGAGTTTGGCGCATACTCCTCCATCAATTGGGTAAGCTCGGCATCAAATTCCTTCTCCAGTTCGACCTCTTCTGCCAAATGTCGTCTTCTCAAGGAAATCTTCTTCTCATCATGTGCTTTAATAAGCTTCTCCCTTCTACTCTCAAATGCTTCCACATCTTTCGTCTGGCTTTCTATAAACTTTTCAATCTTCTTGCTGTCAAAATAAATCCATGTCATGAGAGGAAAAAAAAAAACACTGCGAAGGTAAACTAAACTTTACCTCAGTATGCGATCCCCGCCATATTCATAGTTTGAATCAGTATATTTTGCCTTAGCACGCTCCTCTTGAAGCAACTTCTCATACCGCCTTTCCTTCTCTTCAGTATGCTTATGTATTCTGTCTATTTGATCCTTAAAGAAGCGTTCTTGATAATCCATCTAAATACCAAATGCACAAAAATCAACAAAATTTGTTGTTAAACCTGAAGAAAGGAGTTGATAAGTTTATAAAACACTTTAAAGATGTAAAGACAAAGGTATTTAAATAATGCTAGCAAAAATCATAAGTTAATCTTAAAAATAATAGCAATAGTCAATCAATATCTCATTGAGCCAAAATTCAAACTACATGGAATTTAAAAGAAGAGATCAAACACTTTTAAAACCCTACAATCTCGATAGCTGCAATATCAGTACAAATGTCCAGTCAGAGAGAAATACCATTTCTTTGCTCTCGTCTTGTTGCATCTTAGTTCTAAGCCTTACAATCTGGTTGTCTTCACTGGTTTCACGCAGCTTCTGGGTCACAGCTACAAAATTATCATGGAGAGCCTTTGAAATCTCCTTTTCTTTCACGACCTTGTTCTTAAGATATGTAAGCTGCTGATTATCCTCACTCATTTGTTTCATCGGAATAACGACCATCTCCTGGTATGATCTCACATCAAACTTGAGTCGAGATTTCCCTGCCAAGGCATTGTTGAAATCAGAAAAATGAACATAAACTTCATTGTGTTCACTCATTGTTAAGAAGTAATGAATAACAATCCATGTACCGAACAAGCAAAGTTTGTATGTTCAACTGTAATGGGTAAGATTAAGTCAACAACCAACAGAAGGCATGACAGCTGAGTCCGCAAGCTTAAAAAAGAAACGGAAGTATACTGCTGCATAAATTTTAACATATAATTTATAAGTATGATATTTTGCACATAAATCTCAAAGGAACCTAAGCTGAGCTACCATGATGACGAATATTTATAAAAATAAAGCTACTCATCAGGAAATGATTGATTATACATGCTGCATGCATCTAAATAAAGTCCAGCAAGAAGTCCATGAATCCAGATAATCTCCGAATAGGCAATATGCATTGAATGTATTCAAACTCAATAGATAATTTAGGCATGCGAGGCCTTTTTTTTTAACTCACTCTATGTGAATTCAGAAAAAGTCACTAAGAAATATACACCAGATTGTGACAGACTATCTGGTATCATGACACTCAGCCTAAGCCACATTACTATAAACAATAAGATGAAGCCACAAGATGAAGAGAAGAACTAGCTAGAACGAGCAGACAATGGATATGTGTCCCACTAAAACATCAATGATTCGACCAACAAAAAAATGCAAATAATGAGTTTGCATATATTGACCAACCTGCTAAACAATGAAAGGAATATTATGTCCAATAATTATCAAATTGTTAAACCTACATGTCAACTATTGAGATACAGCAGGATCAATGACAAGATTGCCCTCCTCATCGGGAAACTTTCTGATTAATTCTAATAGAGTATCCATATGAGAGAGTATTTTGATAGTTTGCCAATATAATTAGATATCGTGCATACTTATGTTGATTCGGAAAAATATCAAAGGGATTAGAATGAACTTCCAAATCCAAAAAAATGAGCGCCAAGAATTTTTATATGAAATGTAGCCTAAAGATGTTTCTGAAGATGGATGATCAAGACCTAATGTTATAATGATAACAATATCATCAGCAGTAAGCAGGAGAATAGCAATGCTACTAGATGCTTGCAAAGAAATAAAGATGAGCCATATTGGCTCTACTTAAAGGAGAAATGGAGGTTGACTGTATACAACAACAACATCAACCCTAAAGGTTGACTGTATATATCCGAACAATTGTTTTGATCCATATAAAGAGTGCTTGTACATATATCCCAAAAAGAGGAAGAAATGCAAGATGGAAGACCCAAGTAAATCTCTCTTTGATATTATCATAAAGAAAAGAATGTTTAAGATCAATTTGGAGTGGCCATTCTTATGAAGCAATAATAAATATAACGATTCATATTGTAGTCATTTTAATCACGGGAGAAAAAGTTTCTTCATCGTCAACACTATATTCTTATTTGTTAACAATGACAAACAAAAGTGCCTAATAGCTATCCAGTCATCCAAGGTACCAATAGAGTGAAGATTGATTAACTAAAGTCATTTGCATCCAAAGCATTAAAAATAGAATAATAGATCCTATATGGTTTCCTTCAAGGTTCCTTCAAGCTTTAAAAAAGTTCTTTCTCTGAATAAAACGAAGGAATGAGAATAGAAGCCAAAATAGTGTGAAAGTCATGTTGATTTGGAGGATAAGCGATTCTAGAAGTCTACGAATTCTAGCTTGTGGATTCAGGTGGCGAGTTAATTTGCATTATTAAGTTGGCGGATATGGCTCAATAATTTAAAAAGTTAAATGTTTTCGTTCATACAAAAAGGTCTGAATCATTCAATACTACGTTCTATATCTCTCTCTGCAAAGGATCAATATAAGAAGAAAAGAAAAATTTAGTTTCAAAGAAAACAATGTGATGAGAAATCTGAAATATATTGGAGCATGGATCATAACATACATAACCTTTGTGGAAAATACTGCACCACAAAAATAAACATTTAATTGATTGAGAAGAGCTTGTCATTTATGAAATAGTAAATAAACAAAAAAGAAAACAACAAAATCAGTCATAAAAAGATAGTTGGATGCATATGAAAGAGAGGATAATAAGGAGATTCAAACTTTAAGACATGAGAAGACAATCTATTAATCAAATAGATTGTTGTGCCCAAGGCTTCAACCCAAAATATAAATGGAACAAAATATTTAAGCAACAAAATTAAAAGAATATCTTGTATGTGTTGATCCTTACATTCAACAACAATCTAGATTTCAACAATAACATGACTTCAATAAAAAATATGCATTTCAAGCACCTTAAATTCTATGTTTTATACCAATTAGAAGACTACTGAATTATGATTTGTGTCCGATTCTTCCTGCTTTTCATTTTAATCTTAAAGAATGATTAGTTATCTAAATTAAGGGCGTATGAAGCAAATTTGGAAGTGTATGTGATTTAGTTCATTTCATCATAGGTTTTCGTTGGGACACTCTACATGGACACTCTACAAAGTAAGACATATTTCATCAATCACATTAAGTTGTTCATTCTAATACCTAATTCTAAAGAGACCATATCTCCATGCACTTTTAAATATTATCATTGGGATTTAAATAAAATTTGGTTGTGGTTTGTAAACTTTGGCCCCTATCAATTAATATCATTACCTCTACTTGACATAATCACTACGCTCATAACGCTACTTTACTCTATGTGCTAGTTACATACAAGAAATTACAAATCGATTGAAATTCAAATTAAAAATGGAAAGAGATGTCATTAAAGAAAGTTCCACAAATGTGAGAAACAATTCATTTGGAAGTTTTTCAAAAAAAAAAAAACAAGAAACAGCATTCATTCTAATAAGTATTCAGTAGAACCATAAGCTACTAAATACCTTTAGTATATTAGTTTTATGATATGAAAAAAATCAAGGCAAAATACTGAAGGATTAGCATGCATATAATTTCAGAGTTCATAAATGCATGAAATAAAGCTGCCATGACAAAGATTTTCAAAGGCTGCGGCGCACACCAGAAAAAATTAGCAAAAAGAATCCTTACTCTCCAATAAACTTATAATATGAGCTAATCTTCTAGCATGAGTACACATTACTCGCCATGAAAGCTTTTCCAAGAGGTGAAGCATTACAGTAAATTAAGTATAAAGAAAAGTCACTAACCCATAAACTTCTAGTACGAGTAAATATTGTAACCTTGCAACTTGAGGGCAAACTAAACAGTTCACAGAATACCTTGAGAGTGTTGATTAAAAATGTCCAAATCCTCCTTGCGTGCCAAGTATCCATATAATTGGCGTTTACCGCCATGGCAGAATAGCACAGGATTACTACGCTCCCATGCCTCCCTACTAGTTCCTTGCTCCACAAAATGCCTATGCAATCGTTCAGCTTCCATATAGCCCATTTCAGAAGAATCAAAAATTAACACACTGATTCCACGATGACCATGTGGGCCATATGAATGCCTAGCCCTTTTGGCAGCATATGAGCCGAAATATTCAAGCAGTTCTTGGTTCCCCATTCCGATCCACTGCAAAATTAATCAACAATAAAAAAATGGATCATAAACAGAACAATGAATATATGTGCACCAATTAGCAGAGATAGCATGATAAACAGACCTCTAGGACAAGAATAGAAAATGTCTTCATTTTCATGCAAAATATATACAAAAAATTACTCCTAAATTTATAAGTAAGACACCTATTTAATTAATTGTAATCTCATTAGCAAAATGGTCCATACTTCACTGATTCCAGGTGATGTAGAACAAACGTGTGAAGATGAGTTGTTTAAAGAATTTTGCATGCTTAATATTTCAAGAACAGTGTTAAATAAAACTTATGCCGATTTAAACGCTAAGATAAAAACAATAAGGCGATGAAATCAACTTAGGCTAAATCATATGTGTAGGAGTTAAGGTAGTAAAACAATCAATTAATATAACATTGCGTTCGTGGTTGATTTTCAACGATAATACCTAAACTAACAATGAAATTAATTACCATGAAGTCATTCCCTTAATCACTCTCTTAATCATGAGGGTCTAGCGAAGGAAGTTAACACAATTCTTTATGACTCAATAATTCCACAATCGAAGTAGAGTTAGGCGGTAAAGCGGTATAATAGTGGGAAGATAGCTCACCTCACTGATAAGGAACCACCTTGCAATTCTTTGACAGCAATTACACGTTCCAGGTTGCCTGAACAGCAGGTTTCAGGTGTTCGAAGCTCTAAACAGCAACCATGGAAGGTCTAGACAATGATGGGATGAATTCAGGGGCTGGCCTGCATGCATGGGAGCGCAGAAATCTGATCGGCAGCAGAGTAGCTGACTCCTAGTAACCTCGGACAGCAGCTATGCATTAACGGAGGTTGTAGACAACCTCTAGCATTTTTGGGAATCGCTTGGCAGCAAGTTAATCTTGCTGGGATCACAGGCCAGCAAGCAGTAACTGCCCAAAAACAAAGGGCAGCAAGCAATAGGGGCCGGCTAAAGTATGGGGAGACGTCACTTGGCTTTGGTACTCAGGTTTGGATGGAGGGAAAAAAAAAGGAGATTAAAATTATCTGAAATTAAATTCAGATTTAGGGCCAGCCGGATTCTGAATTCCTAATTATGGGGAGCTTTTGGAGGGAAAGAGATTTAAAATTTGAAATCTAAACGTAATAGGGAAGGGCATTTAATCATCCTTAATTGGGGGCTTAAATGTTGATTGATTGAGGCAAGGATTAAGGAGAATTAATGGGGGAGTGGGCCGGCCATGAGAGAGAGAGAGGAGTATTTGTGTCTAAATTCGTTGTATGTGGACCATGACATTAATGATTGATGGAATAATTCAAATCTGAAATAAATTTCAGGTTTTAACTAGAGCGAATGGTTTCCAAAATAGTTTGGGTTGATTTGGGAAGTTTTAGAAATTCAAATTAATTAGTTTGAATTCGAATTCTTTCCCAAAAATAATGTGGCCAAACATGGAAGGTATTAAATGGGAAATTTAATGTGGGATTCAAGGTGAGGGAATGGGGAGGCCGGCGGGTTGAGGCTTGGTTGGATGAGGGGGCGGTGGTTTGAAGGGGTGGAGGCGACGAGGCGAAAGGAAGGGTGGCCGGTGGGCTTGACCGGTGGTTGGGAGGTGGTTTGGTGTGGGGGATTATGGACGGGTAGGAGAAGATGGGCTTTGGCCGTTGGTTGGAGCTTGAGGCGGTGGAGTTGTGGGGTGATTTAGGTGGGGGGATTGCAGGCGGTGGAAGCTAGGGGATAGTTGGCGGATGGGGTGGAGGAAACGGAGGAGAAGACGAAGATAAATTAAAACCACGAGTCGCGGACTCTTCCAACGACTGATGGGTATTGCGCTTGCTCACCCTGAGCTCTCTCTCCCTTCTCTCTAGTGCACTCACAAGAAGAAGAAGAAGAAAAACACATGAAATTTCATTAGCTGATGTCTTCTCTCTAGAACCCCTCCTAATTCTCCCATAGTGTCTAGGAATGGACCCGGAACAATTAGGAAGTACCTTAGACCTCTTGGTAGGTCAAATGAATACCATAAGCTAGCAGTTGAAGGAAAATCAAGCCGATCTAGTAGAGCTTCGTAGGAACACCACCGAGAGATTTGACAAGTTGGAACGAACCAGAGAAAACCCAATTCCCTACACCCCTTCTAGACCTCCATCCATGTATGGGGATGACATCTACCACGATGAGGGACCCCCTCGTGCCCATCATCGCGCTCCCCAGTATGGACATAACCATCCTCACGGCCCTGATGTACCACTTATGAAAAATTATCAAAGTGGACGCTCCTACCTTTGATGGCACGCTCGATCCCCAGCTTTTCCTAGACTGGGTCAAAGGTATGGAGAGTTTTTTCAAGTGGTACAACATTTCTGAAGCGAGGAAGGTTAGTTTTGCGGAGATGAAGCTCACGGGTAGGGCAAGTCAATTTTGGTCAAATCTAGAAAGCCTTAGGGAAGCCCGAAATGAGTATCCTATTACCGATTGGCTCACTATGAAGCGGGAATTGAAACACAAGTATGTACCTCCGTCTTACTTCCCCAGACTGTTAGACAAGTGGAATAGATTGACCCAAGATAGCAAGCCAGTCGAGGATTACATCGCATCCTTTGACGACTACTTGATTAGATGCAAGGGGGAGACCGCTGCTACCCCCGCACAGATTCTGTCCATGTTTCGTACCAGGTTGCGAGAGGATCTTCGCAATGAACTTTTTGCCCGAAACGTTACTACCCTGAAGAATGCGTATAGTATTGTTCTAGACCTTGAGGAGAGTCGATCCCAGCATCCTAGCCGATCCCACAATGTTAGACATTCATATAGGCCTTCTAGTAGCTCCACCCCTCACGCTCCTACTGCACGACCTACTCCTGGGAGCACCAGCCGACACCCCACCGGCCCTCCTGCTCCCCAACCTGATGTTAGACCCAAACCTCCCACCCTGGATACTCCAAGGTCCAATCCCGGGACCAAGTGCTTTCGATGCCATGGGTATAGGCATATCGCTTCTCAATGCTCCAGTCCTTATAAGATTTCTATCGTCAAGGAGATTATTGAGGACGATCTTGAGCCCGAGGGTGATCAGATCCATTAGGTCGAGGATGAAGGCGAATTCTTCAAGGAGGACGATGACACCACTGTCCTCCATTGCCTTCAGAAACTGGATACCTCTCCCATCTGCGTGGTGAGATGTGCACTATCACATCCAACCCCTACTAATGACTGGCGTAGGATTACCATCTTTTATACTTACACAAAAATCAAGGATAAGAACTGCAAAGTCATCGTGGATAGCGGTCGTTGCATCAATGCTGTGTCCTCCAGCATGTTATCCAAGTTACGACTTTCTCGTGTTCCTCACCCCAGTCCTTATAAGGTAGCTTGGGTCAATTCCACTATCTTGGAGGTGAAGGAACGAAGTCTTGTGCCTATCTTCTTTGCCTCTTACAAGGAGAATGTATGGTGCGATATTCTGATTATGGATGTTGGACAAATTCTATTAGGTCGACATTGGATTCTTGATAATGATGTCCACATCTATGGGCGATCGAACACCTGCGTGTTAGAACATGCGGGTAAAAAGATTAAGGTTTTACCATCGCAGCACCGGGGTAAAGATGACACCAAGCCCTCCCCGAATAATCCTAAGAAGGGACTGAATTTGGTTACTGCTAAGGTTTTGGACTTTGAGATCGCCCACGGTGCTCCTCTTTTTGCACTTGTTGGTCGAGAGACTCCCACTGAGTCCAAAGTACCCATCCCTAATGAAGTCCAACCTATCTTAGAGTAGTTTGCTGATATGTTTCCTGATCATCTTCCTGATAGATTACCACCGCTTAGGAATATTCAGCATGCCATAGACTTTGTTCCTGGAGCCTCCCTCCCGAACCTGCCCCATTATCGTATGAATCATATTGAACACGCTGAGCTTAAGAAGCAGGTATAAGACTTACTGCAGCGAGATTTCATCAAAGATAGTTTTAGTCCCTGTGCGGTACCAGCCCTTCTTACCCCTAAGAAGGATGGATCTTGGCGGATGTGTGTTGATAGCCGTGCCATTAACAAGATCACCGTCAAATACCATTTTCGAGATGACATGCTAGATATGATGTCGGGTGCCACACTATTTTCTAAGATAGATTTGAAGAGTGGTTACCACCAGATCCGGATCCGACCCGGGGATGAGTAGAAAACTGCATTCAAAATGAAACATGGCCTTTATGAGTGGTTAGTCATGCCCTTTGGGTTGAGTAATGCCCCTAGCACATTTATGAGGGTTATGACAAGGTGTTACGCCCCTTTATGGGTAAATTTGTTGTCGTTTACTTTGATGACATACTTATTTATAGCCATTCAGTTGATCAGCACCTGGACCACCTTAGGCAGGTCTGCGATGTCCTGAGGAAGGAGCAGCTTTATACCAATCCTAAGAAATGCACTTTCCTCGTAGACCGCGTTATCTTTCTAGGATTTATCATGTCTGCACAAGGGGTTTCTGCCGACCCCGAGAAAATTAAAGCCATAGTTGACTGGCCCGTTCCTCAGAATATCCGAGAAGTTCGTAGCTTCCATGGATTAGCTACCTTCTATAGGAGATTTATCCAGAATTTCAACACCATTGTATCTCCTATCACGGATTGTCTGAAGAAGGGTAATTTCCACTAGACACCGGCCGCCACCAGAGCATTTAAAGAGATTAAGAAACGAATGGTGGAGGCCCCAGTTATGAGACTTCCGGACTTCTCTAAAGTCTTCAAGGTGACCTGCGACGCATCGGGGATCGGAATTGGAGGAGTCCTCTCCTAGGAGGGTCACCCTGTAGCATATTTCAGCGAGAAGCTGAATGATATTAGGCAGCGTTACTCCACTTATGATAAGGAATTCTACGCCGTGATCTTGTCCCTTCGCTACTGGCGACACTATTTGCTCCTGCAAGAGTTCGTCATCTTTTCGGATCACGATGCCTTGAGATACATTAATTCTCAAAAGAAACTGAATGCCCGACATGGCCGCTG